TGCACGTCGCCGTTAATCCGGGCCCAGTAGGAATTTAGGCGGCTGCACCATCCTGATCGTAATTGTGCCAAGACTACTCGGGTTTGTCGGGCAGCTCTCGTTCTTCAGCTGCAATGGGAGGGGGATGGTCTCCTAGCACAGTATTCACTCTATATCCTTCAATGGCTTCTGAGACCGCATTAAAGTGAATACTATTCAGTCCCGCTTGATAGGCCTGTTGATCTAGAGGCTCTCTCTTATACCTCTGTACCTCTCTCTCTAGGTCATGAAGGTCTTTCCTAACGAGCCTGGGCGGAGGTTGCCTATCCACAAGATGGTGATTTGGATGGCTTTGTCTATAACACCCAAGCAGGTATTGCATTGACAGCATTTTGTTATGCTGTCGCACCGGTAAGACCTTCGCCTCCTCATGTAGGTGATCGACAGGTGTCATGAGAAGGCACCCTGTTGCGGTTCTAAGGGCGGCATTCTGACAGGACTGCACATTTTTCCACTGCGTAGCACTGACGTTGGCGGACCACACCGGAGCCGCATAGTTTACCACAGACCGGCCTATCGCGTTGTAAGAGGTCAACAAGGTCTCCTTATCAGCTCCCCAAGTACTGCCGGCCAGAGACTTGAGAACCTTGTTCCTACTTCTAATCTTGTCGCAGATAGCTGTGGTATGCGCGGACGACTTAAAAAGGCTATCGAATGTGACCCCTAATACCTTGGGGTAGTTGGTGGTCGGAATAATTGCACCATCGACCTGCACATTCAAGGATAGCCCCATCTCCGCAGTCCATGTGGTGAAAAGTGTGGCGGTCGACTTAGTTTCGGATATCTTCATATTCCTCGCAGTGATCAACAAGGTAAGCGTTTAACCGATCGCAAATGTCATCAATAATGGGTCCGGACGCCACGAGCGTACAATCATCTGCGTACGTTATAATCTCTATGCCGTCTGGAGGGCGTGGAATGTCAGAAAGGTAGAGGTTAAACAGTTCCGGAGATATCACCCCACCTTGGGGAACTCCCTGTTTAACTCTACGGATGCTCGACTTCTTGTTTCAGAATTCCACGTACGACTGGCGTCCATACATGCAGTTTACTATTCAACGTTTCAAACTTGGCCGGAGGGTGGTGCGCTCAATGTCCTCGAACAGTGTGGCATGATTGACTGTATCAAAGGCTTTTGATAAATCAAGTGCCACCATAACTGTTCTATCGCACGGCCTGTTCTGGTTGAGACCTCTACTGACATGTGTGGAAATGGCGTGTAAAGATGTTGTTGTGCTGTGCAGTTTTCGGAATCCCTGTTGATGATCGGCTACTGGAAAACACTCTCTTATGCTGGGGAGGAGTAAAGCCTCAAGCGTCTTTGCTACTGGTGACAAAAGTGATATCGGCCTGTATGAATCACTTTTGCTGGCATCCTTGCCTGGCTTCAGTAGCGGGACCACCCTGCCCATTTTCCAGGCATCGGGAACTGCTACTTGTAAGATACTCAACTCCTGGTTCATCCAGTTGCTTCAACATCACCATTGAGATTCCGTCAGGACCAGGCGCTTTGGATGACTTTGCGCTTCTGATGACCTGTGCAACATCTGCCAACGTAAATTGTGGTGGTACCTCCTCGGCTGGAAGAGATCGTACACGGCGTAGGATCCTTCTCTTCGCCCTGTCACTCTCGGGGTGGTCTACAAACTACTTAAAATAACACGCGCACCTCTTCGGATCTGTCACTTCTACGCCGTTGAATGAGACAGATGTCCGATCGTCCTTTTTCCCAGGGTTCGAGAGCGACTTAACCGTTGCCCACAATTTACTCGTTCCGGTACCGATGTTGCAATGCTTCAGATGTTCTAACCACTTTTTCCGCTTATGCTCACCTACTAACCTGTTTACCTCCAGAGTAAGTTCCCTGACTCTGGGGTTATTAGGGTTAGTACGGCGAAGCTCATCTCGCTCGTTTGCTAATCCCGCTGCCTCTGCTGGGAAATTTGGTCTTATTTCAGGTATTCGACCAGCAGGTATATAGCGAGCGGCTGCAGCTTTGATGATGTCCCGGAAACACCTATCCGCTACCTGAACATCAGATGGGTTGGGCAGTTCTCTGAAGCGGCGATTGGTATACTCTCTGAATTCTTGCCAATTAGCTTTCCCGTAGTTAAGGAAAGTGCGGCGTTCAGAGTCAATGAAGTCGGGTGGTCTGTTGATGGCGATAATAATGGGGAGGTGGTCTGAGCCTAGAGAAATGACTGATTGCCAAGTTACGTCATTCGTCAGACCTGGGGACACGATGGATATGTCCGGAGAGCTATGGCAGTCTCCCCTTATTCTGGTGGGCGCGTCCTCATTCACTGTGCAAAACGTGGAGCTATCAATTTGCTCAGCCAGCGCCATGCCTCTCTGGTCATTACCTAGGACGGAATGCCATAATTCATGATGTGCATTGAAATCCCCTAGCACCAGACGGTTATTGCCTACCAGTAGTGAACTGATATTAGGCATATAACGTGGGGCACAGCTATTTAACGGCGGAATGTACACGTTGAGCACCTCTACCTCGGCGGTTCCACACTTGACCGCTACCCCCATACATTCCATGTACGGGTCACTAGAGTCAAGCTCAGGCGAGATAGGTCTGTACTGGACAGAGTGGTGCAATAGGAACGCTAATCCTCCACCTCTGGAGCGATCCTTCCTCAGTACGTTGTATCCATCACAACTTTGAAGCCTGCAGGTGGTACTCAGCTTCGTTTCCTGGATCGCTGCGACCTTGATGTTCTTCCGACCCATAAAGCTTACAATTTCGTTGATCTTACCTCTGAGACCATCACAATTAAATTGGAGAAATGATGCATTATCCGGAACCTGAACAGCAATGTGTGGCGTCAACTGCTGCGTAGATTGCTGTTGAGGAGATTGTGGGGGAGTCTCATATTGCGACGACGATGAGGACGCCGAAGATGAAGACTCACTGGGGTCTACATTGACGCAGCAGGAAGCAATGTAGTCCCTATCGCTATACTCCTGTATCCGGTTTAGGCCGGATCAATTTCGGAAATGCACCCACTCCATGCATCCGTTGCATCTCACCGAAACCGATCTGTTGTGGATGCGATTACGACAAACGGAGCAGAACCATGGTCCGGGGTTGGTCTCGATCCCGGCTCGGACCAAGAGAATACGGAGCAAACATTCCGGGTAATGTTGCTCCCACATCAGAAAAATGGACGAACACGAACATGTATTTGCTGGGTTGACGGCCCCTGGTCGGAGAACTATGCCTCCGAGTCAATCCGGTACATAGAACCGGCCGCCGTGGGATTGTACTCTTTTGTTGTTCCTATTATTTTCATTGTTTGTTATTATTCAATTTTTATTTATTATTATTGTGGTATTCAATGTATGTATTATGCCTTAAACACTACATTATTCATCGCACTAACTACAAGCTCTTTTTCACCACACCAGCTGATCAATAGCCGGATAATGGCAATTAACAGATCGATAATACATAACAATAGTACAGAAAAGAAATGCATATCTAAATTGCTAGTGTACGTGTTTAGTAAAACGATGGGAGTAAAACGCCGAATGCGTCGAGCAGTGGACCGTAGGGGGGAAATATAAAAAGAAATAAAACAACAGTTTTTCTTAATATATACAACTATTTATTCTTAGTTTGGTAAGAGGTAACGTTATTACCTGTGGCAAAAATATGCGTTTCTACGCACAACGATATGTGCTTTGCAAACGATATTGTGGGTGTTGTCTGTCCGAATGACAGCGAAAAACTACTTGATGTCTAAAGGAGGCGGCAAAACAAGGGACAACTAATTACTCGTTAAAATGTCAAAGGCGGTAGCACAAGGTTGCAATAAACCGTAGCGCGTACATTTTAACGAATAATTAAGGACCAAACCAGGGGTCAATACAAAGCAATATTTAATGCAATTCTAAATTAAACATGCCGACCCCCTTGAAACATCAAAGCATGTTTCAACATAATAAAACAAAATCGGAATAAGTTCCGATGGTAGGTACTGGATGCATTGTTTAGTGTGAGCTTTTTATTCGAACAAAATGTGGGGAATGGAAACGCAAATGAATCTGCAGTAACAGATTCGGGATCCATCTCTGCTACAACGATAATATGAAGCCGCAGATGAATCTGCAGTAACAGATTCGGACTTCAATCAAGCATATTATTACACGAAATGTAATATTTTGAAGCCGCAGATGAACCTGCAGTTACAGATTCGGACTTCAATCGAGCTACGTGTTTCCCGAAACGATATTCGAGGGGGGTTCCAATTGAGACCCTGTGCCTATGTCGGTATATACATTGCCAGCTGTCACAAGACCGATTTTATGTGAAGGTCGCTTCACAACATTGCTTACAAATTTACGTTTTGTTGACTGATTACCTTCTGATAATTCATTTTTTCGAATGAACAAAGTTAGATTTAGGATTTTCGACTCCAACCGATGTGGAGGATGTATATTTTGAGGGACGAAAAACTGGGGCTGACAAACCTGTATGTTAGTCAGACAAAATGTGTATAATCTGCTACACAGATTCCACATAAGAAGACAATTGTAGGACTTGGCATGCAACTTTGTTTTACGCCGTTATTTACAGAAACGTTTTTGTAAAACTGTTCTCACCATAAATCTAAGTTGTGGCACTGACATATGTATCTGGCAATAAAGCTTAAGCTTTTAAAAAAACTTTATTTAATTCGAAGAAGGATCGTAACAAAAACAATTTTTTGTGAGTTTTGGGTAGCTAGATTTTTTATGTTGCTGATTACAATAAAGTATTTCCAATATTTGGCTATCTTAAAAATGCATTTTTTGATTTTCAAAAAAATTGCTTGTTTATCCAATAAACTAGTCAGATTTACTTAAAAGCTAATGTAGTTTTTACTAGCTCTTTTGCTCTTATTGCACTGATTATTTCTACACATTGCAAGATTTATTTTTCTATAAATGCCGACAACATTATGCTAGGAACACAATTGGAGCGAACGACGAATTTTTTCGCGGCGTATGTTCGTCGTCAAAAATAAAACACATATGTGTATATGGAAGTGCACACAATCACGGCACCGGCGAAAATTTCGTCGGTCGCCGCGAACTCAATTAGCTTTATTTCTATTTCATACGCCGGCGACCGGCGAACAAAACAGTACAAGGTGGCCATACTTGTACGAATTTTATGTGTATTAGTAAATAAAGTTACTTTTTACTTTAAAATTTGTTATGGTCACTCTACTATCTGTTACTCGTATAAAAAAACATAATTAATTTGTTTATTTATTTGTGTACTTGCGCCTGAGTGAAGATGGATATCAGTGAATTTATAATAGAGAAGATGGACATAAGTGAAATTATAATAGAGAACGTAAAGAATTATGTGTTCTTGTATAATTCATTGTAGTCAACAAATGAGCAAAAAGTAAACAACTTCATCAGCTGTTTTTTAATTTCGTCGGTATTGTGTTCCATACGACGAATTTTCGCGGCTCATTTTGTCGCCGCGTAGGGCGAAATTCGTCGTTCGCTCCAATTGTGTTCCTAGCATTAAGCTGCATTTTTACGGTTGGGTTTGAAATAAACTCCTTATTCTTCCACTGTAATACTCGTATTACGTCAAAGTTTGGTATGTGATTGTTACGCTTACATTGTTCTTCAAGTGTATTTTTTGTATATTGTATTGGTTGCGCATTTTAATGTCTGAATTATGTCCCGAAATTGAAGGGGTTCTAAAATTACAGAGAAGCATTAGAGCCCAAAGATTAACAACAGTAAATATGAGTATTAGAAAACACAACAAGTATACAGGCGATCATGGTTCAATGAATTAAAGGTAACCTCATTTCAAATAAGTATTCCCAGCCTTGCATTTTCTGTAATTTACCTTTTCAGGCGATACTTATGTATTACGAGTAAGGCACTGGCGGCTTATATTTCAATAAAACATTTGTTTTAAATAAAAGACTCTGCCGGTATGAATTTATATTCTTTTTATTACAAAATTTTTTTAGTGAATAATCTTTGTCTTATTGGTGTCGTGAACCAGGAACCTCAACATGCCAGCCCTCTTTGAGTGGTGCCCCTTAATGTGTGTAATCAGTAGAAAATAGGTAAAACCGCAAATTCTCTCTTTGAATCTGTTCAACTTATTTTTTTGGAAAGAAATACACAAAAGCAACAAATGTGTAACCATACTAAATTTTTTGCCGATTCATCATATATTGAGTCACCTCTAGTGGCAAATGACCACCACTAGTTGAACATTTTTTAAAAATTCCCAAATTCGTTGTAAATGGTGGAGGATATTCAAGGTTTGGCCCGGCCGAACTTACTGCTTTTTACTCTTTTGTTGTTCCTATTATTTTCATTGTTTGTTATTAATCCATTTTTTATTTATTATTGTTGTTGTATTCAATGTATGTATTATGCCTTAAACGCTATATTATTCATCGCACTAACTGCAAGCTCTTTTTCACCACACCAGCTGATCAATAGCCGAATAATGGCAATTAACAGATCGATCATACATAACAATAGTACAGAAAAGAAATGCATATCTTAATTGCTAGTGTACGTGTTTAGCTCAGAGGGGCTACGCCGATGGGAGTAAAACGCCGAATGCGTCGAGCAGTGGACCGTAGGGGGGAAATATAAAAAGAAATAAAACAAGAGTTTTTTTTAATATATACAACTATTTATTCTTAGTTTGGTAAGAGGTAACGTTATTACATGTGGCAACAATATGCCTTTCTACGCACAACGATGTCCGAATGACAGCGAAAAACTACTTGATGTCTAAAGGAGGCGGCAAAACAAGGGACAACTAATTACTCGTTAAAATGTCAAAGGCGCTACCACAAGGTTGCAATAAACCGTAGCGCGTACATTTTAACGAATAATTAAGGACCAAACCAGGGGTCAATACAAAGCAATATTTAATGCAATTCTAAATTAAACATGCCGACGCCCCTGAAACATCAAAGCATGTTTCAACATAATTAAACAAAATCGAAATAAGTTCCGATGGTAGGTACTGGACGCATAGTTCAGTGTGAGCTTTTTATTCGAACAAAATGTAGGGAATGGAAACGCAAATGAATCTGCAGTAACAGATTCGGGATCCATCTCCGCTACAACGATAATATGAAGCCGCAGATGAATCTGCAGTAACAGATTCGGACTTCAATCAAGCATATTATTACACGAAATGTAATATTTTGAAGCCGCAGATGATCCTGCAGTTACAGATTCGGACTTCAATCTAGCTACGTGTTTCCCGAAACGATGTTCGAGGGGGGTTCCAATTGAGACCCTGTGCCTATGTCGGTATATACATTGCCAGCTGTCGCAAGACCGATTTTATGTGAAGGTCGCTTTACAACATTGCTTACAAATTTACGTTTTGTTGACTGATTACCTTCCGATAAATTCATTTTTATAAACTTAATAAGGTTCCTTTGGACATTTTGTACAGCGATTTCGAATGAACAAAGTTGGATTTAGGATTTTCGACTCCAACCGATGTGGAGGATGTATATTTTGAGGGACGAAAAACTGGGGCTGCAGCTGACAACAACGATTTTGACGAGCTTGCCTGAACTTTTGGAGTCAGAACCGGAAACGAACTATTCGGTTTTAATGATTCGCGATGTAGTAACGTATGATGATGTTGACCACATTTCCAACAACTATTATTAGTACAATTTACTAGTTTATGTCCCTTTACCAAACAATTTATACAATGTTCGTGGCGGTTGACGAATGCAAACCTTTTTGCGGGGGCTAATTCCTTAAATTTTGAGCAAAAATGAAGGCGATGGATTTTCTCATGACAAAGACGACACGATTTTCCAATAGAAGGGGAAGACGAACATTTAGATTTGGACTTTCTAGCGGTATCAGGCGAATTTGAATCCTGCAAAGGAATGGATTTCTATCTATAACCTTCTAAACACACGAGCGTGTTAATCCTTAAGGTGTCTAAATCTTTCCACGAAGAAAGGGCCGATTTGTTTTTAATACCTTGTTCCCATAGCATTGTCGTTTCTTCCGGCAAGCGTTGCAGGCAAAGAAAGACAAGTATCGGATCCCATTGATCTGTGGGAACGTTATAGATCGACATAGAAAAAATGCAACTATTAATTCCCCGTCGGATCTCCTTAAGACCCATTGCAGTTTCTTTCTCAAGAATCGGAAGATTATGCAACGACTTTAGTTGATGATGAACCAATAATCGAATATTATTAAATTCATCATTTAATGCTTTCCATGCGAAAGCAAAACCACGGTTAGTTAGAGGAAACTGCGAAACGATTTCCCGAGCTTCTCCAGCAGTTTTATTAGGCAAATAGAACATGCGTTCGACATCTCATTTGAGTGATGTCGAGTGATTTATGTAAATGGCGCTAAACAAATCCCGAAAGGAAGGCCAAGAAGAAAAATCTCCCTCAAAAATATCAATATCAATTGGGGGCAATGCCATATTGTGAACGATATCACAACCAGAAGAAATACTTGCGCAATATTTTCCTGCGATTCAGGAAGCAAAAGAGATTGAGCCGATTGCTCTTGATTTTTATCCGCGTTTTTAATCAAATTTTTTAATACACAACGAGTTTTTATAATTTTTCTATTAATTGTGGCCATAGTGCTGGAGTAAATGTTTAAAGAAACATCATATTTACTTTCTGCCAAATGCAGATATTCTTTTGTAACATTTTTCGAATTTTCTAAGCTTTGTAACGACTTATAGACCGATTGCCATAGTTTTTCTAACTTGCTCTTCCTTTCCTCTAGCATACTAATTTCTAAATCGTCTTTTATTGCACCGATTAGTGCACCAAATTTTATCAGGGCCTCTGAGTCTCTTATGAAAGTTTGTAGAGGAGAGGAGGCCATAATTATAGCAAGAAACGTCGAACCAAATTTGGAAAAATAGAGGAATAAATAAAATTACAATTTTATTTTTATGTATTTAACTTGTCAAAATGACCGCCTATAGGGTTTATTAATTTCCAAAAGTTGAAAACAACAAATAACTATATTAATTTAGCTTTAATAATAATAATTTTACACCCAATACCAACTAATATAACAAGCAGAGGTGACCGACCAACGTAGTGTAGCTATTCAACCTAAACGGACACGACAGAAAGAGGAATAAACAAAAATATTCTTCCTTCGTTTGTTATGTTCGTTCACTGATCTAACAAAGCTCAAACAACTAGTGCTGATCAGAGAACAACGACAAAGCAAGCAGTGATGTTAGTGGATGATCAAACAGTGTTGTTGTTGTTTGCGACAAACAAAACAGAAAATGAATTTGACTGTTGTTACAACGAGAAAAAGAGAATAAATGTAACAACAGCAATATGCAATATTAAAGCGGACAGACCAAACAAAAAGTATAATATTGCAATCTTTGCTTTAGGTAGTAAAGCACACCAAACTAAAAACTAACAACGACGACGTTTTTGTTGGTATCAACGAAACGAGATGTTTAATGTTTTGTTGTTTTACATGAACCAAAACAAAGAAAGTTAGCAAACGATTTTTGCAACAATTTTATTTTCGAGTTTTGTTTTGATTATAATGCTGCCGAATGCAATCATCCACATTAGAAGCCAACGATTGGCGGGAAACAAAACAAAAGAAAGATGTGACGTTGTAAAACAACCTTTGGACCTAAACAAAACCGAATGTTTTGTTGGTGTCGCGGTAATTTAATTACGCGAGCTCACTTGAAAAACTGCACTATACATACCTTGTAATGCAGGAGTAATGGACTGTATGTTGTGGTTTCCAAAAGCGCCCAAGAGGGCTGGAATATCCGGTTCGATTGGACCATTGTTTAGCTCAGAGGGGCTCCGCCGATGGGAATAAAACGCAGAATGCGTCGAGCAGTGGACCGTAGGGGGGAAATATAAAAAGAAATAAAACAACAGTTTTTCTTAATATATACAACTATTTATTCTTAGTTTGGTAAGAGGTAACGTTATTACCTGTGGCAACAATATGCGTTTCTACGCACAACGATATGTGCTTTGCAAACGATATTGTGGGTGTTGTCTGTCCGAATGACAGCGAAAAACTACTTGATGCCTAAAGGAGGCGGCAAAACAAGTGACAACTAATTACTCGTTAAAATGTCAAAGGCGCTAGCACAAGGTTGCAATAAACCGTAGCGCGTACATTTTAACGAATAATTAAGGACCAAACCAGGGGTCAATACAAAGCAATATTTAATGCAATTCTAAATTAAACATGCCGACCCCCTTGAAACATCAAAGCATGTTTCAACATAATTAAACAAAATCGAAATAAGTTCCGATGGTAGGTACTGGATGCATAGTTCAGTGTGAGCTTTTTATTCGAACAAAATGTAGGGAATGGAAACGCAAATGAATCTGCAGTAACATATTCGGGATCCATCTCCGCTACAACGATAATATGAAGCCGCAGATGAATCTGCAGTAACAGATGCGGACTTCAATCAAGCATATTATTACACGAAATGTAATATTTTGAAGCCGCAGATGAACCTGCAGTTACAGATTCGGACTTCAATCGAGCTACGTGTTTCCCGAAACGATGTTCGAGGGGGGTTCCAATTGAGACCCTGTGCCTATGTCGGTATATACATTGCCAGCTGTCGCAAGACCGATTTTATGTGAAGGTCGCTTTACAACATTGCTTACAAATTTACGTTTTGTTGACTGATTACCTTCCGATAAATTCATTTTTATAAACTTAATAAGGTTCCTTTTGGACATTTTTTACAGCAATTTCGAATGAACAAAGTTAGACTTAGGATTTTCGACTCCAACCGATGTGGAGGATGTATATTTTGAGGGACGAAAAACTGGGGCTGACAAACCTGTATGTGAGTCAGACAAAATGTGTATAATCTGCTACACAGATTCCACATAAGAAGACAATTGTAGGACTTGGTATGCAACTTTGTTTTACGTCATTATTTACAGAAACGTTTTTGTAAAACTGTTCTCACCATAAATCTAAGTTGTGGCACTAGCATATGTATTCGGCAATATTCTGACTTAAGCTTTAAAAAAAACTCTATTTAATTCGAAGAAGGATCGTAACAATTTTTTTTTGAGTTTTGGGTAGTTAGATTTTTTATGTTGCTGATTACAATAAAGTATTTCCAATATTTGGCTATCTTAAAAATGCATTTTGTTAAGTTCACAAAGTATGTTTTACATGATTTTCGAAAAAAATTGCTTGTTTATCCAATAAACTAGTCAGATTTACTTAAAAGCTAATGTAGTTTTTACTACCTCTATTGCTCTTATTGCACTGATTATTTCTACACATTGCAAGATTTATTTTTCTCCAAATGCCGACAACATTAAGCTGCATTTTTACGGTTGGGTTTGAAATAAACTCCTTATTTGGTGGTATGTACCTATTCTTCCACTGTAATACTCGTATTACGTCAAAGTTTGGTATGTGATTGTTTCGCATACAAGTGTATTTCATCTTCAAGTGTATTTTTTGTATATTGTATTGTTTGTGCAATTTAATCTCTGAATTTTGTTCGAAATTGAAGGGGTTCTAAAAATTACAGAGTAGCATTAGAGCCCAAAGTATTTGTTGCACAAAGATTAACAACAATAAATATGAGTATTAGAAAACACAAGTATACAGGCGATCATGGTTCAATGAATTAAAGGTAACATCATTTCAAATAAGTTTTCCCAGCTCTGCATTTTCTGTAATTTACAGAAAACAGTTCTCATCTCCGATTTTGTACATATACTATGGAATTATGAATATAAATTTTAACAAAATGTTGTCAAAGGTAACAATTTTAAAAAATTGTAAACATATGATTGCATGACTTAACCTCCTTAGTTCTACGATGCAGGCGATACTTATTTATTACGAGTAAGGCACTGGCGGCTTATATTTCAATAAAACATTTGTTTTAAATAAAACACTCTGCCGGTATGAATTTATATTCTATTTATTAAAACATTTTTTTAATGAATAATTTTTGTCTTATTGGTGTCATGAACCAGAACCTCAACATGTCAGCCCCCTT